TTCCCCCCTTTCTTCTTCTTCAGTAGTACTGTAAACATGACAGGATGACTCACAATCGTTACTTTCCTGCAAGTTGAGACAGTTGGAAGAGAAAGACTGGAAATGCCAGGCTGTGTGTTTTGGAAGACGATGAAAGCATGTTCTCATCTGCCTGTATCACACTCACCATCATGAAGGCAGAGACTAGTGACTCAGTAGCTGGTACTTCCAAGTGCTTTAAAACTGATGTCCAAGCTTGAATAAACTCAGGTTGCTGTGTTTCACTGGTGGATCTGAGACAATCAGATCAGTCAATTCAGAATTCAGGTGGAGTGAGGAAGAATTACCCAAATACAGGTACTATTCCCCTTCCCTCCTCCCCACACAGTATCACATAAAATAGATAATGTGTTTAGTGGTGGGATTAGAGTATGGCTCTGATTCTTCACAAGTTCCTGAGGATTACTCACAGCTAGTGTCTGGCAGTCATCATCTCTCTGGACAGAGCTCTCATCACCATTCTCGTGTCACGTTCAGGCTGTAGAGAAAGGAATAGGTTTTGGCACATATGCAGCTGGAATGAGCTTTCATTGGCAGCTGGAATGAGCTTTCATTGGCAGCTGGAGGCTCATTATTGCTCCTCGCTCCCCAGTCTAATGAGGTTGCTGGTAAGGAGATGGAATTAGATGCCACGGCCCTTGCGTTTTCCTGATATGGTGCTCGGAAAGGGCAGGACGTGCATAGTGCCCCTGGGTTGCTCTGGCCTGCACTCCTCAGGGAGTTTCTGAGCAACTCGGGGTTCTGGTCCACATGCTCTTTGAGAGCTGGGATGTCAGAGTGAGCTCACTTCCCTGAACCGGTATTATCTGAATACTGTTTTCAAAAGAATACTTCAAATGAAAGAGAGAGAAGGTAAAAAAAATAAATGCTACTGAGCTAGCAATGCAGTTATGCAGAATTTCCACTTATTTGTTTCCTGGCTGTCAGGAAGACATATAAAGAATAGCCGCTGTTGGTTCTCTCATCAGAATGCCACCATGGAAATCTGTCCTGATGTGGGGTGTGTTGAAAAGCTGTTGGCCAGATCCCCCTTCATGGAACAAGACTGAGAGAGCTGAACTTAACAATCACAGCACCGTGAAATAATAAAAGAGTTATTTCTTCCCATAGCTGCAGTGATTCACGACCATAAACAGCTTCACTCCTGTCCTTTGCTACCAGCGGGGGGGGGGGGGGGGGGGGAGCAGCAAAAAGAGTGGCTCTGCAATGAGTCTAGGAAATAGGAACGGGGATTCTCCTTCCATATCAAAGAGGCCATATGAAGCAGCAGAAGTGACCTGGGGCTTTTTAAATAACATTTGTCAAGCATGCTATTTATCACATTTGTGTAGCCTTTAGTTCAATAAATACAGGAATGCTGTATACTTGAATAAAAGCATGCTAATGCCCTGCAGTAAATGCGATGACCTGTAAAAGAGTTACTTGTTCCCAATCATGCAGGCAGAGCTGGGAAGGGAACCAAAATCTCTTGAAAATCAGGTTAATCCACAAGACATCACCTCTTTCAAAAACATTCTCCAATATAATGTCACACTTGCCAATGAGTGCAGGTAGGTAGGAAAGAAACGTGCCATGGGTGAGTATGTTTGGGCTTATCTGAGTACCAAGTCATGTTTTTACTTAGTAAGAACTTTATCAAAATCTGGTAATGAGGACTCAGAGCAAGGTGCAGTACTGGCCAGCTACTGTATTGCCTCAGAAGAGAGAACTGACAGGTAAGGCATAAGTTCCAGTTTTGAGGCTATTTCTTTGCCTGATACCAGTGTCTGTGGCCATGGAAGTGGCAAGAGGCAGCCATTAGCCAGAAGTCAAAGGGTTTAACTTCCAGCCTTCTCAAAACCCACCCACAGGGATTAAGTCACGTATCTTTGACTGCTCCATTTGTTCAAAAAGTGTCTCTGTCTGTGTGACAATTGCAGCAGTGCCAGACAGCAACAAGATTAACAACTTTCACTTGCAGGATATCAGCATCTCATCTTACCGGTTTTGGGACCCAGCAAATTAGTGGTCAGCTCAGAAGGATGAGGTTCTGAATGACTTCTTTGCCTCAGTCTTCACTGGGAAATGCTCTGACCACACCACCCAAGTCTTGGAAGGCAGATGCAGGGACTGTGAGAAGGAAGACCCTAGGCCCACTGTAGGAAGGCATCTGGTTCAAGACCATCTTAAGAACCTGAATGTACGTAAGTCCATGGGACCTGATGAAATCCATCTGTGGGTCCTGAAAGGAGATGGCAAATGAAGATGCTAAGCCACTGTCCATCATATTTGAGAAATCATGGCAGTCAGGTGAAGTTCCCGATGACTGGAAAAAGGGAAATATAACCCCCATTTTCAAGAAGGGGAAAATGGATGACCAGGGAATTACAGAGCAGTCAGTCTCACCTCTGTGCCTGGCAAAATCTTGGAGCAGATTCTCCTGGCAGGCATGCTAAGGCACATGAAAATCAACAAGGTGCTTGGTGACAGCCAGCATGGCTTCACTAAGGGGAAATCCTGCCTGACCAATTTGGTGGCCTTCTATGATGGGGCCACAGAACTGATGGACAGTGGGTAGAGCAGTTGATGTCATCTACCTGGACTTGTGTAAAGCGTTCGACACTGTCCCACACGACATCCTTGTCTCTAAATTGGAGAGACATCAATTTGATGGATGGACCACTCGGTGGATAAAGAACTGGCTGGATGGCCGCACACAAAGAGTTGTGGTCAATGGCTCAATGTCCGGCTGGAGACCAGTAACGAGTGGCGTCCCTCAGGGATCGGTGTTGGGACCAGTCTTGTCCAACATCTTTGTGCACCAGCTCTGCCTTTCGTCAGTGGTGAGATGGAGCTCCCAGTTGCTTGGTACTTCTCTTGGCAATCTCCTTTCACTCTGCTTTTGAGGTTCATGGTGTCTGTCTTGTGGCTTTTGCCTGTGTGAAGTGTTGGAGTGTGTGGCTGACAGGCTCAGGATAGCTGTCTACCTCAGCATTAATGAATCTGGAACATAGAAGTGCTCTCCGTGACACTGAAATTTAGATGATGATGGAATATCCCCTGGATCTGGAAAATGAAGAGGGTGGAACAAGGAGAGATTCTGCCTCACCATACACAACAGATCATGTCAGAGCCCAGAACAACTCGGGATTTCAATACCAGCCTCGCTACAGCTTGCAGAAAAACTAGTTGGCTCAGTTCTATGGGATTTGTTCACTTGTTGGTTTGTTTGGTAGGGCTTTTTTCTTTCCAAGTGTGTAGGTATGTACGTGTTTGCTCTCTGGATGAAAAAAAATCGTTAGGAAAATTAAATCAAACAATGAGGTCTGTTTTAGACAGTTTTTGCTGTGTCTCCTTAAGGCAGTTTGATTCTCATCTCCCTCCTCCATTATAAAACATGCCTGAGTGCCAAAGTTGTTTTGCAAATCAGAACAAGAAATTTGACTTGGAGCCCAAAACGCATTACGCACATACTGCCAAGGGGTAAGATTTTGAGTGTACTTCAGTAATCGCTGTCGTGCTACAGGCTGAAACACACGTTGTGTTTTAAGGTGAGAATAGATCACTCTGAAGTCATCGGTGAATGTGGCCAGGCTCTGGAGGGCTGGGGAGGATGCACCTCCATGGCTGGGAGGTTGCACAGGTTTTCCTGTGGTGCAGCAGCAGCATGTTCAGCACACAAGAGACAGATGCCAGCGACTCATCTGCCTTTCATGTAAAGTGCTGCAGTTTCTCTTCTCCCTCCTGCAGAGCTCACAGCAATGTAGCAGGCTTCAAGGGTAGGAGCCAGTGGAAGAGGAAAATCTCTTGGTGCAGGAATCGCAGGTACCATGAGAGAAACTAGCAGAAGGAATTAATAATTGCTGCTCCCTGCTGCAGTTGCCAGGGTGTGACAACAGATAAGCAAGTCTGTTTCCCATCCCCTCAGCAACTACTCAAGACACTGGAGATCCCAGTAACACTGTTTTCCTTTGTACTTGTAACAGAAATAACAAACAGGAGTTCTGATTTTTAGAGCTAAAGGACATACTGCCCAGGCCAAGTCTAAACCAAATCACATGGGAAAGCCACCCTCACCTCGCTGGGGTGTGTAATACAGCAATGCAGCAGCTTGGGGAAGGCCAAGTGCCATTTCTTGTCTGGACTAGTTGAGTCCTCTGCGGCATCCCACCAATGCTTAATGCCTTCTGCCTACACGTGGGTCTCTGCCGCACACCCATATGATGACAAATATAGCCCAGCCATTCAGGGCTGGGAAAAACCTCCTTTTTCGCAGGCTTACTGTGTGTATATAAAATCATGCCTAGCCCATGCTCACAGCTGGATTGAGGGAGGGTCTCAATCAGGGATAAATAAACACAAACTAGGAAATTTCACCCAGTCCCTCAGGTATGTGGAGGGCTGTGTGCAGCAAAGTGATTTTTTCCAGTACGTTTTCTCCAGCACTTAGAGACCAGTTCTGCTCCAGTTCAGCAGGGCTGGCTGTGTTCTAACCTGGCTCTCATATACTGTCTCTTGTTTGCTCCTTTTCCTCTGTGGCTGGCAGTACTTTGCTTAACTGCTCCCACATGCTTTTTTGGGGGGTCAGTGGTGCCTCCTCCCTCTCTGTAAGGGTACCCCTGTGCTCTGACAGCTATGCCAAGCCAGGCACTGCAAAACAGGACTTCAGTGCAATCTGCTAGGCTACCTGAATAAACACTAGCAGTTTCCAGAGGTACCAGGACTGGAAAGCCAGCCATGGTATCTCTCGCGATAAATGCTTGTAAATGCTGAAGATCTGACAGGAAAGGTTCCGGTGGCCCTTGAGCCAGCTTGCAGAACTCGCCACTGGTTTCGCACCAGGCAAGCAGGATTTACTGCAGCCGCCTCCAGCTCACCGCCGAAGTTTCACATCTCTGTCCAAAGACACCTAGGTTAAACGAAAGCTGCAGCAGCAGAAACTGCTCAGATGCATTAAGCGGTTGCATCCATGAGACAATCAGGTCTCTTATGTGTGAAGATTAATAGCCACTTTCACAGAAGCCATGAATTGATGTAAATGTCACCACCTTGTAAATAAGACAGCATTGCTTTGCCCTGCTTCCTCAAAGCCAGGTAGGCATCCACCTTTCATTTTAATGGTCTGAATTTTGGACTCGGTATGTGCCCTTTAAGTAGATTTTTCCACCCCTGTGTGCCTTTGAATATGTTCCTAATCATGCTTTGCTGCCTTCAGTGTGGTTGCGAGCATTCCTAACGGGTACTCTATTTATGGAGAAAGCAGCTGCCAGACTGGAAGGAGAAGCCTGCTCTCCTGTATTTTAGTTATAGAAATAACCTGCACTGAACTCAGTCTAATGAACTTGCGATGCAATGAGTGCTGGGATCCTGGAGCGAGCCGCGGAACCAGCGCATCCCCACGGCACGAGCGCTGCAGTTCATCTTCTCCAGGGTCAGCTGAAGTCAGTGACGGGCGCGTCGGCACAGGGGTGCGCGACGAGAACTGCGCTTCCCCGCGGCTGCGGCCGGAGCTCCGCGGGCACAGCTGGGCCGTGCGTGGGGAGGCGGCAGAATCGCTCCGCGCCCCGCGCGGTTTTCGGCCCGGTTGTTGAGAGGCGCGGCCGCGCCCGGGCTCCGGGAGCGTCTCTGGGCCCGCCGGCTCTGCGGCCCCCGGTCTCCCCGGCAGAGCTCCCGATACCCCGGTGCTGCGCGGCCCCGGCACTGACCGCGCCTCCAGCCCTGCCGTGCGGCTGCAGGGGGCGGGCCGGGCGCGGGGCGCAGGCGCCTGGCCCCAGGAGGGAGCCGGCTCCGGGGTGACGGGAGGGGCGGCCCGAGCGGAGCGGCGGGCACAAAGCAGCGGCCGCTTCCCGTGCATCGGCCCGGCGCGGCTCCCAGCAGCGCTGCCCGGCGGCGAGAGGTAAGGGGCGGGTGGGGCTCGGCGGCCGGGTGGAGGGGCCCGCGGCGGCTGCTTGAAACCGCTGCCCCACGGGAGCGAGCGGAGCGGGGGACATGAGGGCCGCGAAGGGGCGCGGTGCTGGGAAGCGTCGCTCTCCGCCCCGCCGGGAGGCAGGTGAGGAGCCGGGCTGCAGCCGGTCCCTCTTCCTCATCCCTTCCTTCCCCCTCTGGGCTGCCTCTGCCGCGGCCAAGGCCAGGGCGGGCCGGGCCCCGTCTCCCTGCGGCAGGTCCCGGGGAATGTGGTCCAGGGCCTGCACACACCGGGCTGCTGCTCCCTACTCGGTGCCAGGCCTCTGCACTGGGGCTCGGGGCCACCGCCCGCCCCGCCGTGCCCTGCCCGGGCACCCCGCTGCCTGCCGGGGCACCCTCATCGACTGCTTCCAGCTGCGCCGTCCATCCCGCCCCCCTCCTGCTGCTGTCATCTGTGTGAGTAAGTCGTACAGCCTTGGAAGAGAAAGCTTAGTGCATGTTTGCAGTTCGGTGCGAGCCCCGTTTAGGGCCTGCAGGCAGTACGCCGTACACACTGTCAACAGTAGTTGAGCAAGGCTGAATGAAGTGTTCTCAGTGTGGGCATCTGCATTGCTTTTCTGACTGGATTAGGGCTTCCCAGGGCCCAAAAGATGGGGATACAACATACCTTTCGTCAGTTCCTCTTGTTAAATATTTCCTTATAAATATTATGATAAAAGTTTATTTTCAGTCACACAGGTCCAATTTGATAAATGCAGAAAAGCAGAAGGTGTACTTTCATCTGTTAGCTTGATTCCTTTGTTGTATTATTTTTCTAAGCTACTTAGCTCTCATTTCTTGTATTTGCTTATTTTCTAAAGTCTTACTCTAGTGCCTTTATAAGTAAGGAATAGCTTTATGTGCCTTTGCCAGCTCAGCTGTGTTGAGGATTGCATAAAGCATGATTTCCACCTGGTATTTCTTTGTTCAAAAGCTCCGGGGGGGGGGGGGGGGGGGGGGGGGGGGGGGGGGGAACAGGATAGTGCTTGCAAGAATGCCCTTTCTCTGTTAGAATATAGCTTGTTTGGAACAGCCGAGGGACCTGACAAGTGACTGGACTAACTGTGTTTGACTGGAGTTACTGCATTTGCAGAAGTGCACTATTGGCCAGGTGCAGGCTGTAAGGCTGATGAGACAGTGCTCAGAAAAGCAAATACTTGGAGCTTTAGACTGTGCCATTCCACAGGAATTCTGTCTTCAACTCAGCTATGTCTGCACTGACTCTCTGAGTAACTCTCTTTTGCTGGGATAAAATATGTTGGTATAGCTGTTGAACCAAGCTCTTACCTTTCCACAGGTCACATCTATGTTACATTTTATTGGTTTTAGATCTATTTAGCTTTTCAATATTTGATTAATAGGTTACTTGGGACCCAAATAATTAATTGAGCAGGAAGACTGATAAATAGAGTTGTCAGTCACATAGCTACACAAGAAAATTGTGCTGTGATTCTGAAAACATTTATGTGGAACAGTCCCCTGTATTTTATCATATGTGATCCTAGGGTGCATTTAGTTTCATTGAGAGGATTTGTATTCAATCTCCTGCCTCATTCTTTGTGTTAATTAAAAACATTAGCTAAGAAGTAATTGCCAAGAATATCAGCAATATTGACTCTTCTGAAAATGGTGATGGAAGAGCTGCATGGAACAAGATTCCAGTATGTTGTTTGGAATACACTCACCAAGTGGGTTTTGAGGCTGACTTTTCCTCTTTAAGGGATTTCTGTAGGTTTCAGTCTGTTTATATTTGCTTAACTTGTAAATATTTGGATTTTTTTGTTTGGTTTTGCCCCTCAGCAGATTTGGGATCCCACAGCGCTGTTGTAAATGGGCTACCAGGTTAAAGTTTCCCTGGTAGGTAAGTCTGTTGAGGCTGGGTTGTACAGTAGCTGTAATGCAGGTTTCTTCTCCAGCTAAGCCTTTAAAAGGACAGCGAGCATAAATATTAATCTGTGCTGAGAAGCTGATCCTGTTAAGCTTCAGGATTTTCAGGCTGCTTGAAAAATTTCTGGTGGATTGAGAAACTTTTGTGCTGAATAAGGTGCGAACTTGGGAAAGCATCATCTGCTATTCAGAGCAGAGATGACCCAACTGTGGTGTTTATTTAGGTTTTATTTATTTCAGAAGTTCAGATTCAGTTGTCAAGGGCTCTGTGGCCCATGAGTGGTATGAGTGTGTGCTCCTGGCACAAGCTGGATAAGGTGTGTCAAGGGGCTCTTGTGGCTGACTTTGGTGGATTCTCTATCACCCTTTTGCACTCTCAGCCAACTTGGTGTCGCTTGCTCCGGCTCTGAGGCCCTACAGGGAGGTGTGTCATGGTCTCCATGTGAAAATACTCCGCTGGCCCCCTCCCTAGAGGCTGGGAGGTTGAAGCATACAATGTGTGATCAACTGTGTTGAGGTCTGTGGCTAATAGAACCAGGAACATTGGCTCCTGTTGCTCTCAAGTATATCTAATGTAGAAGATAACAAGCTCTTTTACTTAAGGCTCAGAGGCGGTTTTGGATTGTTTCTAAAGATAGATCAAATGTAGTTACTAAGGCACTGAACAAACAGTAGGGTGACTAAATATTTCACTGCTGCTAGAATAATGCAGCTGTCACATTGTAGTGATAAGTAACTCATTCATCTCCCATCAGCAGGAGGAAGTTGAGAGGGTACTACATGAAGTAGATATGGTCTTAGTCCTTTTCTTAACATGTTACCAGACCACTCTCAGCTTTTTAGCCCTGTAGGATCACTGAGGGGCTCTGGATCAGGAGCTGAAAGGGGCTCAACAGCAAAATTGTGGTCTCGCCTTCCAGAAGTAGCGACTCCAAACACGGGCTGGAGCAACGTACAGAAAGCTAGTTCTGTGGTCATGTGTATTGTAGGCTCCATGGTTGTGCAGAACTTGCCTGTGGCTCTAAATACTTACCATAGTGTACAGATCTTGAAAATAAGAGGTTTACATACCTCTAATCTGTAATTGGAGATTTATCAAGATGTGTCTCAGAAAAACCTTTAAAATTCCTTCCTTAAGAGTTGCTTGGGAAGAATGCAAAGCAGAGTCAAGTGTTACTAGTTAAACCATTTTTTTTTGTTGTTCGAGTCACTTATCATTCAATTGGTACGTTCAGTGTGTACTGGGAGAGGGGACGGAAGTGTAACTAAATATTTGGCACCCTGCGTTAAATTGAGTCACTGTGTAAAAAAAAAAATAAAAAAAAGGCAAGCACAGGAGTGATATAGTGTAGTAGGAATTGGAGAGATATGAGGCTCCAATTTCCAATATATACCTTAATTTAGAACACTGAAAATTATTCCTGACTCAAGAAAATCTGCAGCAAGACTCTTAGATGCAGTACAGTTATCCCATGTCTTCTTATGGAACATATTATGAGAGCTGGAAAGGATATCACATCCACTTCTTGGCATTTGTGGTGCTTATGACCTAGAGTAGGATCACTTACAATCATCAGCTTTATCTGATGTTTCACCACCTACAGTTACCCAGTCCTAAGGCAGTCTGGCCTACCATACTTGTTCAAGAGTCTGAGTGTTTGCAGTTTGAATAGGACCAAGGAGAAAAGGGCTGGAAGGGATGTAGAATTTTCTTAGTCTCTTGACTGCTCTGAGATGCAAAGTGGTTTGTTTGTGGAAGGGTGGCTGCTACCACTTTGCATTCTTGGCTGTAGACTGAAGTGCTTACGTGGTCCTTATCCCACTTTTGGTCTGGGCCCTGTGTGATACTGACCTGGAAGGGGAGATGTTCTGTAACCCAGCCTCTTTTGGTTTAGAGAGTGTCTTTTAGACAGATCAAGACAAACATGTGCAGTCTTTCTTCTGCCTTTTTGTTCCACAACACTGCCATAGAAATGAAAGGTGATGAAGGACTTGCCAGGCATCATAGAATCATAGAATAGTTAGGGTTGGAAAGGACCTCAAGATCATCAAGTTCCAACCCCCCTGCCATGGGCAGGGACGCCTCACACTAAACCATATCACCCAAGGCTCTGTCCAACCTGGTCTTGAACACTGCCAGGGATGGAGCATTCACAACCTCCCTGGGCAACCCATTCCAGTGCCTCACCACCCTAACAGGAAAGAATTTCCTCCTTATATCCAATCTAAACTTCCCCTGCTTAAGTTTTAACCCATTACCCCTT